CGCCATGAAGATTAGGTGGCGTGTGTTGCTCATTGCCATTCCCAATCCCCTCCCCAAGGTTGTGGTGCATGGAGAAAACAACAACATGCTGAGCTGCTGCATAAACAGGAGGTGCGGTGGACAGCCATAGCTGTGCTTTGGATCTTCAGGGATATGGCAGGATCCCTAAATCTCTTTGCTTTGCCCAGCAATATCATGAAAAATAGGCCATTTGGTTTTCAGAAACTATCTATTTAAACCACAAGCTGTGAGTGGGAGACCCTGTGCCATTTTATCTGGCCTTTTGGACAAGGCCACACACACTTCTGAGCCATAGCCCTTATCATCCTTGCTTGGCACCCTACTTGAGCATTTTCACCTGGCTGGAACATATTCTTGAACTCCAATCATGCTTCCCGCTTGCCTGGAGGGAGGATAGAGAGTGATGTGTGAGCAGCCTCCTGTACAAAGGGAAAAGTCTCATTTATTGCTTTGTCCCCTTTTGCCTCTGGCCCTGCACAGTTTGCCCAGAAGGGAATGCGTCACTTGAGCTGGGAAAAAGACTCCCCTGGCCACAAACCATCATCCATACAGACAATAGCTCAGTCAGTACAGCATGAGGTCACAGGGTCACAGGTTCAAGCTCCATGTTGGGCAAAGGATTTCTGCAGGGCAAGAGATGGACACACAGAGAGAACATAATCTAACATTACGCTAAAACTGATCATGCAATTGTAGCAGAGGAATTTCTGTAATAGATAAGAGTAGAAAAAGATTTGAATAAAAACACCATGGAGGTGTGAGTGGGAAGTCAATTGGTTTATTAGATTTGAAGTCAAATTGTGAATTTCAGAAATTTAAAATTAGAATACAAAAAATAATAACAAACCACAAACCGACCCAAGAACCCCTAACCTGAGGATCTGAGGGTGACAATAGAAAAGAGGGCCTTTTCTGTGATAGCCCTCTCAACAATCTCCTAGCTGCACCTACTTTTTATTTTCCCAGCCCCCTTGCTCTGTCATGTTTTTAAATTGAGTTTATTCTCAACAATTTGTGGTTTTATGTTCTATCAATACTTTATTTTAAGTCATTAAATCTTAAATTGCTTCATTTCTTGTTATGAGCCGCTTTGACAACTTTAGGAACACATTCCTATGGATGAAGCTGATCTGTACTGAGTCAGACCACTGGTCTAACTAGCTCAGTATTGACTGACAGTGGCTTTCTAGGGGTTTTGAACAAGAGTCTCCCCCAGCCTTAGAGTTGCTGGAGATCAAACCTGAGCTCTTTTGCATGCAGTTCCAGTGCCACAGGCTGCCCCCTTTAACTTTATTACAGGGCAGCCTATAAATGTTGCAAATGAATAATAAACAATAAAAACATACGCTCACATTATTGATCTGGACATATCTTATGGCATGCATTCTGGGCTCAGCTAATGTAGCCTTTCTGCATGTCCCCAAATTTCATAGAAACAGCACTAGCTGGTAGCCTAGAACTGCACAAAAACAATTTCTGTTTCCTATAGAATAATAAACTTGGCCCAAAACACAAAAATACATTTTTTAAAAATTAAAAAACCAGAATATTTTATATTGGGCTGTTGGCTTTAATGCCAAACTTCAGGCTAAAATAAGTACTAACAGCTGAGCAGTAAAATTGCAAGCTACGCTGGTTTCAACAAGAATGGCTCTTGGCCCTTAATTAGAACATTCTGTAAAATTACTGGTGGGGCAGTCATCTGAAAATGTTTTATTCTTACAGTAATTGCTGTACCAAAATCCTGCTCTGCCTCCTTTCAGTGATTTCAGAGTTTTCCTCAAGCCTTCCATTGCTTCAGTGATTAATATGACCTCTATTAGGACTTATACAAAACTGGTAATTATATCCAGAGGGAATAATAGCATCTTTAACACAAGCTCTAAAGAGCACTGCAAACACAGTAGATTGTAGTCTACCATCTACCAGAGTTGGCCTTTTGTGTATGTCAGAAATTGACTGTATCCCTCAAAAATACTACAGGGCATATGCTCCACTGCTGTTTGGAGGAACCCTTCTTAGGCGGCATGGGGTGGCACTGGCAGGAATTAAGAAGCCCTGCTGCATGCCCAAAGCCAAGCCAAGTTCTAGATCTGAGTGCAGCCTGATCGAAGTGCCCTCTGCTGCCCCTCCTACATCCAGGCTTGCCAGGAGATGGTGGGCAATGACTATGACAGTGGGGGTGGAAGCGCTCCAATTGGCAGGAGCAAACCGGCAGTAAATCTCACACTGCAAGTTATTAGCCAGAAAACGATCTGCACAGACTTGGCAGAGTGTCAGGCCTAATGAGCACAGCAGCTCATCTCCAGGAGGTCTTGCCTAATGTATCAGTTACAAGACTGAAAGCGCCCACCTCCCTGCAGCCAGCTAAGTCCCCTCTTCTTCAGGGTTTTCCCCAAGCAAGCAGAGACTTTGACCGCATGAGGTCAACCTATCCTCCACCCTTTTCATACCTCTTTTGGTTCTAGGAGACCAGCACTGGCTACAATTCTATGCTTCCTCTCCCTACATACAGGATCAAATTAGTGTGCACTGGTGTGTGTGTGTGTGTGTGTAAGTAAGTAAGTAAGTAGGTAAGTAAGTAAGTAAGATGGTAAGTAAGTAACCAGCTTCTGGCTAGCTCCACAGCTATATCTAGTCCCCCAAGAACGCCTGAGTTCAAGGGTTTGAGTCTGGCTCCAAACTATTGCTCATGCTTAAGCACCAGGCTCTCCCACACCAACTGCATTTACTCGCAGGTGTTGTAAACTAGGTCGGGACAACATGCCAATAAAAAGTTGGTATCAGAAAATTAGGTAGTTTCTCATTAAAATGCAAACAAAATTGAATTTCTACTCCATCACTAGTTGGAGGCAGTGGCGTAGCGTGGGTTGTCAGCACCCGGGGCAAGGCAAGTAATTTGCGCCCCCTAACCCGTGGATTTGCGCCCCCTAACCCTAACCCCCAGATGTTGCGCCCGGTGCGCCCGGCACCCCCTGCACCCCCACGCTATGCCACTGGTTGGAGGCCAACATTGTCTGGATGACTGCCAGTTCCCCACCCCTGGTTTAAGGGGATCAAAGTGGAGGCACTGCACTATTTTGCAAGAGTTCTGCCTTCCTTCCCTTGGAGAGAAGCTGCAGTCATACAGGCCTTTTAAATTTCATTCCTCCCCTCCTTTCCGGGGGGGGGGGGGAGAGAATCACACACTGATGGACAGAGAAGGGTGAGAAAAGTGAAAAATGGGTCAGAGACGACATGTGCCACAGCTCTCTTCTCTCTACTCAGAGGCATTCAGAACTCTCTAACAACATTTTATGCCTCAGTGAGGCTCACTGACATATGAGAAGGGGGAGCGGAAGCAGGAAGACATTTAGGATAGCGATGGAAGTTAAACCCACTAATCTTTTTTTTTTTTTTTTTTAAATATTTTATTAAGGATTTTCTTGTTTTACAGAAGTGTAGTGCCTCGTATTTTTTTTTCCCATGTAACATTTTTACAAATCCGTTTCATTTGTTGAGGCATTAGGGGGAGTAGAAAAAAAAAGAAAAAATAAAAGGGGGGTGGAGAGAGGGAAGATGGATGGGGGTGGGGTCGGGTGGCGGTGTTTCTATTATGTTTAATGTATGTAGAGTTTGGTGTCAGCGTTGCTTGTGTTGTTCACTTGTGTTCCTTTGGTGGTGAGAGAGGTTGGGGTTGGCCTAGGGTGTGATTGTTTGCTTGTGATTGGCTGTGGTGATCTTTGTTTTCGTGTGTGAGTGAGGTGGGTGGGTGTTTTGGATCAGGTTAGCCATATTGATTTGTATGCTGTTGGTGGATTATTGTCATTGTCCTGTTGGGCTGTGTATGTGATAAATGGGAGCCATACCGGGGTGAAGGCGTCTTCTTCTGTTTGTCCCCGTGTCAGTTTCAGTTTATTAGTTAATTTTTCTAGTAGGGCTGTTTCCCATACTATTTGGTACCATTGGTCCATGCTTACTCCTGACAGGTCTCTCCAGTGTCTGGTTATGGTGTTTCTGGCTGCTGAGAGCAGGTGGGTTATGAGTTCTTTGTGGTGTAAATGGGCATTGTTGTCTTGGAAGATGTTTAGTAGGGCCAATTCTGGGGTGATGTCTATTACTTGCTTAGTTATTTTACATATTTCTTGTATGGCTGTTGTCCAGAATAGTTGGATTTTGGGACACTCCCACCACATGTGGAGGTATGTGCCTGTGGAGGTGCACCCTCTCCAGCATTTTGGTGAGGTTCCTGGGTGTATTAGCGCTAGTTTCCTTGGTGTTAGGTACCACCTGTAGGTGAGTTTCAGTGTGAGTTCTTTTCTTTTCGTTGATATGGATTTAAAGGGGGGTTTAGACCACATTCTGGTCCATTGAGTGGGGTTAATCTCATAACCTATGTCATTCTCCCATTGTTTTTTGATTGCGTCTAGGGGATTTACAGGATTTTGGAGTAGTATTTTGTATATTGCGGATACCGTCCCTTTACCGTTTCCCTTTGTTGTTAGGAGGAGGTTTTCGAAGGTTGTCAGGGGCCTAGTTGCTGCTGATTTTACTGTTGGGTTGTTTAAGAGGGCATGAAGTTGGTGTTGTGTTAACCAGGGCATTTGGGTGTCTTCTAGTTTGTCTTGTATTTCTTGTGTTGACAAGGGTTTGTTATTTTTATAAAAGTCTATTAGGCGATATAAGCCTTTGGTTCGCCAGGTTTTTATCTTGAGGTTTTGTGCTGCACGGTGGAATAATGGGTGGTACGCCAGGGGATTAGTGGGGATGGGGTTGGGGATAGTTTGCCTATTTGTGTTTTCCATGCTTTGAGCATGGTCTGTGTGTACCTGTTAAGTGTTGTGGGAATTTTCTTTAGTTTGTTTGGGAGGAGTGGGTATGTTGTGGTGCAGGTGTTTTCAATTGTGTCCCTCTCTAGGTGTACCCATTGTTTTGTCTCATCTTCTAGTATATATGGGATTATGTGGCGTATTTGGTTGGCATTGTAATATGCTTCTATGTGGGTATACCCCATCCTCCTTCTGAGGTGGGGAGGTGCAGGTATTTGGGGCTTATTCTTGGTTTTTTATGTGAGAAGATGAAAGAGTGTAGTTTTCTCTGCCAACTGCGAAGTTGGGTTGAGGGGATCCAGATTGGGAGGGTTTGGAATAGGTAGGTTAGTTTTGGGAGTGTGATCATTTTGATCATGGCTATTTTGTCTGAGAGAGTGAAGTTCATGTTATTCCATCTCTTTAGGTCTTTGTTAATTTGTCGCCACAGGGGCTTGTAGTTGTGGAGGTACAATTTATTGAGGTTTCTGGTTATTTGTACCCCTAGGTATCTGAACTTGGTGTGGCAAAGTTTTATTTTGGTGACCTTCGTGAGTTCTTTTTGGGTGTGAGGAGGGGTGTTGAAGCACATAGCTTCTGACTTTGTAAAATTTACCTGTAGGCCCGACACCATTGCAAATGTGTTGAGTTCTCTGATTAGGGAGGTTGCTGTGCTTATGGGGTCTGGTGTTGTGACCATTAGGTCATCTGCAAAGAGCCCTAATTTATAGGTTCTGCCTTTTATTTCCACTCCCTTGATGTCTGTGGCTGCTCGGATGCGGATTGCTAGGGGTTCCAGAGCCAGGATAAATAAGAAGGGAGACAGTGGGCATCCTTGTTTCGTGCCTCTTTGGATAGCTATAGTGTTAGAATCCATATTGTTAGTTCTGCATTTTGCTGAGGCTTGGGAGTATATTTGTTTGAGGATTTGTAGGAAGTTGGGGCCAAATTTCATGTTAGTTAGTACTGCTAATATGTATTTCCACTCCAAGCAATCAAAGGCTTTGAGGATGTCTAGGGACATAATTGTCAATGGGAGTTTGGTTGCCTTGCTGTGTTCGATCAGGTTCAGTAGTTTCCTGATGGGGTCTGTTATATTGCGGCCAGGGACAAAGCCAGTCTGGTCTGGGGCTATTAACTTGTGTAGGAAGATTTTTAGGCGGTTGGCCAAGATTGATGTGAATATCTTGTAGTCTTGGTTTATTAATGAGATTGGGCGGTATGATTCTACTTTGAGGCTGTCTTTTAGTGGTTTTGGGATGGAGACTATTTTGGAGTGGGTCCAGGTTTTGGGGATGGGGCCCCTTTTTATGATGTCGTTGAATAGGCGGGTCATGTAGGGCATCAAGGGTTCTTTGAATTTCTTATAGAATTCTGCTGTGAAGCCGTCTGGGCCTGGGGCTTTGTGTGGTTTCAGGTTTTTGAGGACCGCATCTATTTCCTCTGGGGTGATAGGGCTGTCCATGAATTCCTGTTCCTCATTAGTTAGGGTAGGCATGGTCAGTCCTGCTAGAAATGTTCTGATTTCCTTCTCTGGTGGGTTATGGGAGGTGTATAGGTTGGAGTAGAATTCTGCAAATTCTGAGGTTATTTCTTTGGGGGAGAATGTTATGTTGCCGTCTTTTTTGGTGATGCAGTGTATTCTTGTTTTGAGTGCTTTTTTCCTACATCTATTTGCTAGTAATCTGGAGTTTTTCCTCCATATTCTTAGAAAAGTTGTTTAGAGTATAGAATGTTGATCATTGTTTTGTTAATTTCTAGGAGTCTAGTTCTCTCCTTTTTGTTCTATAAGTTTGAGGAGTTTTTAGATCCTGTTTGTTTGTAGCGTGATGAGAGGGCTGTGATGTCTTGTTCTATTTTGCTAATTTTTGAGGAGGTTTGTTTTTTAAGGAATGTTTTCTCTTTTATGCAAGCTCCTCTGGTGACCGCTTTCATTGCGTCCCATAGGAGGGGGGTTGTTATATTGTTTACATCGTTTTCTTTGAAGTAGTTTTGGAGGGTTTTTGTGAGACTCTCTCTAATTTGTTTGTTTGTAGTTAGGATGGGACTGAAGGACCATGATGGGGTGGTTTGTGTTCCTTCTCCTATTTTAACAATGACTTCTACTGGGGCGTGGTCTGTGATTTTAATGTTACCTATGTTTGTTGATTCTACTGAGGGGATCAGACCCTGTGTGAGTAGAATGCTGTCCAGTCTGGACACTGTATCATGGCGTCCTGATTGGAATGTATGGCTGATGTCTCCCGGGTTAAACCCACTAATCTGATAAGGATTAGGTCTCGTCTGTGTTGTTTGCTGAAAAAACCCACCCCAACCTAGTCATCTTCACAAGCTTTAAGATAATGAGAAAAGTTAGCAAGTAAGGTAAGCACCCCGTCACACTAATGATTTCTTCTAGCTATCTGTGACTTTCTACTTTAACTGTTTTGTGCTATTTCGATAATATATATAATGAGTTAGCAGCCGATGTACAGCAAAACTTGATATGAAGTAATCTCATAATAATGAGTATGGCAAGGTGCTAGACAGGTGCAAGGAAGAACCCATCCATGCTCTCCAGGTTAGGTGGGTCCTGATGTGGATATTCCTTTGGGCTGTTCGCAGACTTACCAGCCTTTGGAGAAATGATGCTGCAAAGTTCTCATTGGCACATTGTTATGGTGTGTCAAACATGTGGCCCAGGGGGAGGGAAGGTTCAGTACATTTTTTGGGGGGGGAACCTCTGTATGATTTTTTGTATTTCATAATGGTGTACATCAACTCTGTCATCTAGATGACCCTCAGGGTCCTTTCCAACTCTACAGTTCTATGCTTTATTGGATTGTGCTGTTAAATGCCTAGTTTAAGAGTCATTTGTGATTATTGAATTGTGTCATGCTTTTTTCTGGATATGAGGGGTGTTGATATATTTCCTTGCCAAGTCTGCAATGGATGGACAAAGGCACAAGGGACGGGGCAGGGTGCTGGTATAGCTTCTTGCCAAGGGTGCAAGGGAGCCTAGGTATGTCTCTGTGCACCACAACAAACTCTGTCTTTCTTTGTTCTTCCCACATTTGGTAATAATGATAATAATAATAATAATTTATTTATACCCTGCCCATCTGGCTGGGTTTCTCCAGCCACTCTGGGCAGCTCCCAACAGATTAATAATAATAATAGATTTAACATCAAACATTTTATTTATTTATTTATTTATTTATTTATTTATTTATTTATTATTAAGGATTTTCTTGTTTTACAGAAGTAAGTGTAATGCCTCGTATTTTTTCCCCCATGTAACATTTTTACAAATCCATTTCATTTGTTGAGGCATTAGGGGGAGAAGAAAAAAAAAGAAAGGAAAAAGAAAGGGGGAGTGGGGGGAGGGAAGATGGGTGGGGGTGGGGTCGGGTGGCGATGTTTCTATTATGCTTAATGTATGTAGAGTTTGGTGTCAGCGTTGCTTGTGTTCCTTTGGTGGTGAGAGAGGTTGGGGTTGGCCTAGGGTGTGATTGGCTGTGGTGATCTTTGTTTCCGTGTGTGAGTGAGGTGGGTGAGGTGTTTTGGATCAGGTTAGCCATATTGATTTGTATGCTGTTGGTGGATTATTGTCATTGTCTTGTTGGGCTGTGTATGTGATAAAGGGGAGCCATACCGGGGTGAAGGCGTCTTCTTCTGTTTGTCCCCGTGTCAGTTTCAGTTTATTAGTTAATTTTTCTAGTAGGGCTGTTTCCCATACTATTTGGTACCATTGGTCCATGCTTACTCCTGACAGGTCTCTCCAGTGTCTGGTTATGGTGTTTCTGGCTGCTGAGAGCAGGTGGGTTATGAGTTCTTTGTGGTGTAAATGGGCATTGTTGTCTTGGAAGATGTTTAGTAGGGCCAATTCTGGGGTGATATCTAATACTTGCTTAGTTATTTTACATATTTCTCGTATAGCTGTTGTCCAGAATAGTTGGATTTTGGGACACTCCCACCACATGTGGAGGTATGTGCCTGTGGAGGTGCACCCTCTCCAGCATTTTGGTGAGGTTCCTGGGTGTATTAGCGCTAGTTTCCTTGGTGTTAGGTACCACCTGTAGGTGAGTTTCAGTGTGAGTTCTTTTCTTTTCGTTGATATGGATTTAAAGGGGGGTTTAGACCACATTCTGGTCCATTGAGTGGGGTTAATCTCATAACCTATGTCATTCTCCCATTGTTTTTTGATTGCGTCTAGGGGGTTTGTGGGATTTTGGAGTAGTATTTTGTATATTGCGGATACTGTCCCTTTCCCGTTTCCCTTTGTTGTTAGGAGGAGGTTTTTTGAAGGTTGTCAGGGGCCTAGTTGCTGCTAATTTTACTGTTGGGTTGTTTAAGAGGGCATGTAGTTGGTGTTGTGTTAACCAGGGCATTTGGGTGTCTTCTAGTTTGTCTTGTATTTCTTGTGTTGACAAAGGTTTGTTATTTTTATAAAAGTCTATTAGGCGATATAAGCCTTTGGTTCGCCAGGTTTTTATCTGGAGGTTTTGTGCTGCATGGTGGAATAATGGGTGGTACGCCAGGGGGATTAGTGGGGATGGGGTTGGGGATAGTTTGCCTATTTGTGTTTTCCATGCTTTGAGCATGGTCTGTGTGTACCTGTTGAGTGTTGTGGGAATTTTCTTTAGTTTGTTTGGGAGGAGTGGGTATGTTGTGGTGCAGGTATTTTCAATTGTGTCCCTCTCTAGGTGTATCCATTGTTTTGTCTCATCTTCGAGTATATATGGGATTATATGGCGTATTTGGTTGGCAATGTAATATGCTTCTATGTTGGGATTCCCATCCTCCTTCTGAGGTGGGGAGGTGCAGGTATTTGGGGCTTATTCTTGGTTTTTTATGTGAGAAGATAAAAGAGTGTAGTTTTCTCTGCCAACTGCGGAGTTGGGTTGAGGGGATCCAGATTGGGAGGGTTTGGAATAGGTAGGTTAGTTTTGGGAGTGTGATCATTTTGATCATGGCTATTTTGTCTGAGAGAGTGAAATTCATGTTAGTCCATCTCTTTAGGTCTTTGTTAATTTGTCGCCACAGGGGCTTGTAGTTGTGGAGGTGCAATTTATTGAGGTTTCTGGTTATTTGTACCCCTAGGTATCTGAACTTGGTGTGGCAAAGTTTTATTTTGGTGACCTTCGTGAGTTCTTTTTGGGTGTGAGGAAGGGTGTTGAAGCACATAGCTTCTGACTTTGTAAAATTTACCTGTAGGCCCAACACCATTGCAAATGTGTTGAGTTCTCTGATTAGGGAGGTTGCTGTGCTTATGGGGTCTGGTGTTGTGACAATTAGGTCATCTGCAAAGAGCCCTAATTTATAGGTTCTGCCTTTTATTTCCACGCCCTTGATGTCTGTGGCTGCTCAGATGCGGATTGCTAAGGGTTCCAGAGCCAGGATAAATAAGAAGGGAGACAGTGGGCATCCTTGTTTCGTGCCTCTTTGGATAGCTATAGTATTAGAATCCATATTGTTAGTTCTGCATTTTGCTGAGGCTTGGGAGTATATTTGTTTGAGGATTTGTAGGAAGTTGGGGCCAAATTTCATGTTAGTTAGTACTGCTAATATGTATTTCCACTCTAAGCAGTCAAAGGCTTTGAGGATGTCTAGGGACATAATTGTCAATGGGAGTTTGGTTGCCTTGCTGTGTTCGATCAGGTTCAGTAGTTTCCTGATGGGGTCTGTTATATTGCGGCCAGGGACAAAGCCAGTCTGGTCTGGGGCTATTAACTTGTGTAGGAAGATTTTTAGGCAGTTGGCCAAGATTGATGTGAATATCTTGTAGTCTTGGTTTATTAATGAGATTGGGCGGTATGATACTATTTTGAGGCTGTCTTTTAGTGGTTTTGGGATGGAGACTATTTTTGAGTGGGTCCAGGATTGGGGGATGGGCCCCCCTTTTATGATGTCGTTGAATAGGCGGGTCATGTAAGGCATCAAGGGTTCTTTGAATTTCCTATAGAATTCTGCTGTGAAGCCGTCTGGGCCTGGGGCTTTGTGTGGTTTCAGGTTTTTGAGGACCGCATCTATTTCCTCTGGGGTGATAGGGCTGTCCATTAATTCCTGTTCCTCATCAGTTAGGGTAGGCATGGTCAGTCCTGCTAGAAATTTTCTGATTTCCTTCTCTGGTGGGTTATGGGAGGTGTATAGGTTGGAGTAGAATTCTGCAAATTCTGAGATTATTTCTTTGGGGGAGAATGTTATGTTGCCGTCTTTTTTGGTGATGCAGCGTATTCTTGTTTTGAGTGCTTTTTTCCTACATCTATTTGCTAGTAATCTGGAGTTTTTCCCTCCATATTCATAGAAATGTTGTTTAGAGTATAGAATGTTGATCATTGTTTTGTTGATTTCTAGGGAGTCTAGTTCTCTCCTTTTTTGTTCTATAAGTTTTAGGAGTTTTTTAGATCCTGTTTGTTTGTAGCATGATGAGAGGGCTGTGATGTCTTGTTCTATTTTGCTAATTTTTGAGGAGGCTTGTTTTTTAAGGAATGTTTTCTCTTTTATGCAAGCTCCTCTGGTGACCGCTTTCATTGCGTCCCATAGGAGGGGGGTTGTTATATTGTCTACATCGTTTTCCTTGAAGTAGTTTTGGAGGGTTTTTGTGAGACTCTCTCTAATTTGTTTGTTTGTAGTTAGGATGGGACTGAAGGACCATGATGGGGTGGTTTGTGTTCCTTCTCCTATTTTAACGATGACTTCTACTGGTGTGTAATCTGTGATTTTAATGTTACCTATGTTTGTTGATTCCACTGAGAGGATCAGACCCTGTGTGAGTAGAATGCTGTCCAGTCTGGACACTGTATCATGGCGTCCCGATTGGAATGTATGGCTGATGTCTCCCAGGTTTTGCTCACCCCAAATGTCGTAGAGACCCCTGTTTTTTAGCAATTTAAGTAACTTGTAAGAGTTCCTAGTTGTTGGAGGTTTCCTTTGGAGGAAGGTTGCCCATGGGGTTGTGGGGTGGATATCTTTCAGGGATATACCTTTCATATTTAGATTGAGGTCCCCTCCTAGGATTGCTTCCCCTTCAGAGAAGGAGAGGAATTTGTTTAGTGTCTTCTGGAAGAATTCTAATTGTTTCGCGTTTGGGGCATATATGGAGCCAATTGTCAGTTTGATTTTGCCATCTAGTGTCCCTTTAGCGAAAATGAATCTGCCTTTTTTGTCTTTGAGGACTGTTGTGGCAGTGAAGTTCAGGTCTCTACTGAGTATTATGGCTACACCATGAACTTTCCCTGAGCCTCGTGCGACCCACTGTTGACTGAAACGGGGGTCGCTCAGGAGTTTGCTGCCTTTGGGTGGGTTGTGTATTTCTTGTAGGAAGGTGATGTGTGGTTTCATGGTGTTTATGTATGAGGTGATGCGTTTTCTTTTGATGGGGTTTCCCAGCCCCCTCACATTTAATGTAATTGCTTTTAGGTTAGCCATCCTGCTTATCTATTATGTGGGGCGATTCCCTGCCAACCCGTTTGGGTTGTCTTGTGTCTCTCTCATCGTGTTGTTTAAAGAACCAGTGGGGTTGCGCTGACCTAGGGTGACCTAGGGGGGCTAGTGGGATTAGAGTGAGATTTGGGTTAAAGAGTAGGGGGTAAGTTGTAGAGAGTTTTCTATATGTAGTCATATAGGTGTTTGTTTGGGGTATTTTGGGCCATCTGGCATTTAGCCGGTTGGTCCTAGGTCTCAGCTGGTGTGGAAGGCCATGTTCAAGGACAGGCCATCCCTCCTGTTGTTTGCAATAAGGGGTGATCAGCGAGACAGTGTGAAGTGACTTTGTAACGTCGCTGTCAGGCATAAGGTTCGTAAGCAATGTTGCCAATGTTATGAGCAACATTGTTGGTGTGTTGGGGTGGGGATGTGGGTGCTGGTACACTCTGGTGCCACCATAGTGCTGGTTGGTTATCAGATTTTAGCCTGATTGTGGGTTGTGTTATTAAGGTTGGAGGAGTTGTTTTTCCTTAGTATGGAGTATGGGGATGTTGAAGGATTTAACATCAAACATTAAAAACTTCCCTAAACAGGGCTGCCCTCAGATGTCTTCTAAAAGTCAGATAGTTGTTTATTTCCTTGACATCTGATGGGAGGGCATTCCACTGGGCGGGCGCTACTACCGAGAAAGCCCTTCTCAAGCAACCAGGTGAGCAATGTCACCCCACCCTGTCAGCTGCTATTGAACAAAGCTGAGGCCTTAGCAGACAGTCCTTCTATTAACTTATGTCTTCAGCAAAGTTGACACAGAACCTGCTGCCTGCCACTGATACAACAAATCACTTCCAATGGCACTCATTCAGACACTGCAGAGAAGCAGCTCCACACATACTGATGTGTCTGGATAGAGCTCTACTATATGTGAAGGGACCTTGACTGGGCCAGGCAGAGACCCACCTCGCACAGAGGAGCTCTACCCATTGACATCAGTATGCATTTTCCAGCATCGTCCAAATGGTCATATGTCAAGGAAGTATGTCTGCTGCGAGTGGCAGTACAGAAGGAGGCATGGATAGGGAATGGGCTGGCAGTGGGTAGGGGTGGCCAGACTAGCCTGCATTGTTTAAACGCTCTTTCATTACAATTTATGAACAGAAGTCCACTGGCATTATCCATGGGATTATTAATGGGTTCTGGAGATTGCTTTGGGCATGGAAGCTTCTATATGCAGATTTCCCTCCCCAACAAAGGGACTGTAACCCTAAATAATAAGACGTTGCACCCATGCTAAGATCATTATCTGAAGCAGGAAAAGTAACTGCTAAAACAGACTTTTAAAACTATTTTATTACTTTCTTTTGTATATTTATCTGTATTTATACATACAAATTCATATTTAGGTAAAATTAGAACTGCGAAAATATACTTGAGATATTAATTTAGCCAATATATAATAAGGATTGCTTCTCGGTAACTGCTGTTCACAAGAGCCTAAGTCAAATATGTGGACTTATAATACAGTTCCTTGCATAACTCACATTAAATTGGTGTTATAGTTCAAGAAAAAGTAAACATTATGTCAGCTTGAAATTGTCATTTGCATATTTGCTCATTATTATATGGTTTGCTCAAACAGTATTACTTGCCTGTGATCTTGTAACATTCTCACCCACTCCATTTAGGGGAGATATATAGTGGCAAATGGCAAGAAAGACTTCTGCAAAATAAAACAGTTGCAGTAAAATGGAAAATACTGAATGAAATGCAAATGAATGTGGGAATGGATTGAGGGACGTACATACATTCCTAGTACTTTCCTCAGTTAGTTGTTGATCAACACAGAATCACACAATTGTACCTCTACAATTCTTTATAAGTGATTTGGATGAAGGAGTATTTGCAAATGACACCAAATTTGATGGGGTAGCTAACACATTAGACTGCAGAAATAGGGTCAAAGCTTATGTTGATACAATAGAGAATTGGAGAGCCTTATGCCCCTCACTGAGCTCCAATTTTCAGAGTGGTTTATCAATAAATTCTCCATACTTCCAGAGAAGTCTGGGAATTGTAGCTCTCTGAAGGGAACAGGATCTCCTAAGGACTCTTGGCAAACTACACTTCACAGGATTCTCTGAGGGAAGTCATGGGTGTTTGAAGTGGTGTGAAATTGCTTCAAATGTGCGGTGTAGATGGGGCCTAAGATAATGTGGATTCCTAGGTGTAAGATTAAAAAGAGGAAATGGTGAGTGAGAAGACTAGTGCATCAATTTTTCAGTTTCTTACAATTGGGAAAGGTATTTTTTTTGGTTTTGTTCCAGAAGTGCTCTTGAAAACTGCAAACAAAGTCAGGTAGCATAATATATGGCCATACCTATGTGGGAATTGACACCCTGCAGATGGAGATAGCACAAAGAGCCTAACTGAAAATGTGCCCCTAAGTCCTACTGCACATGCTGCATTATACTGTACCTGCTTGGTTTAGTCTTTTTTATTAATAATAATAATAATAATAATAATAATAATAATAATAATAATGCAATTGTTTGGAAGTATTATTATTTGAAGTAATTTGAAAGAAATCTATATGATTAACCATGTAAGAAGATAGCAGTGATCTCACAACCCATTCCAGTTGATGTGCTGCTAGTCATGGCATTTCCCCTATTGTAAGGGTGAACATCCAGAAAATGGAGGCCTCGTCCTGCTAAGACAGCTGTGCTCAGGGTAGCTGGTCCCTCAGTTTAAGTAAATGGTGTTCAGCCTATTCCAGATGTGGTTATACTCCAAAATATCTGCCATGCCAGAGTAGGGAGAGATGCCAAGAAAGGTCAACCTTTTTTGCTAAGTCTTTCTCTCTGTCTCTCCTTTGTTTGTTTTACATGGGAAGTGAAAAATAATTATATACTAACTTAAATGAAAATGGCTAAAGGTGATGTCTGAAAACTTTTCTAGGCTCTGTCCCAAGTTTTTAATGTATATTAGAAATGAGAGGTTATTATATCTTTTCAGTCTTTGGGAGTGAGTTGGCAGAAAAAGAGGGCACAAATATTTATCCTAATAATAACACAACCTTCATTTTATTTGCCAAAACTCAACATGACCATTTTTCTGTTATTCCTTTTATTCTTTGTAAAGTGCTAATATAGCAGCCTTCCCAAACCAAGGAGCCCCCCCCAGGGGATTCTGGACTACAGCTCCCATGATCCCTGACTGTTGACCATGGTGGCTGAGGTTGATGGCAATTGTATGCATCAGGTTGGGGAAGGCTGCTATCGTGTAATGAAGAAAAGCTAAGCCCCTTTCCCGAGAAGCTTATACTGTCTAGAATTTGATGCAGGAAGAGGGAGCAGATGTAGGAAAGAAGACAGAATTTGAAGATGAATAAGGGGAGACTATGTGCTCAGTTCAGTTTCAGTAGGAAAATGAAAAACAGAATCATAAGATACATGCCACAAGGGATGATGCAGTCCTATACATCTTTGTAAAGGTAAAGGTAAAGGTAAAGGTACTCCTGACCGTTAGGTCCAGTCACGGACAACTCTAGGGTTGCGGCGCTCATCTCACTTTATAGGCCGAGGGAGCTGGCGTTTGTCTGCAAACAGCTACCGGGTCATGTGGCCAGCATGACTAAGCCGCTTCTGGCGAACCAGAGTAGCACAAGGAAATGCCATTTACCTTCCCACTGGAGCGGTACCTATTTATCTACTTGCACTTGACGTCCTTTCAAACTGCTAGGTGGGCAGGAGCTGGGACCGAACAACGGGAGCTCACCCTGTCGTGGGGATTCGAACCGCTGACCTTCTGATTGGCCCTAGACCACAGCACCACCCGCGACCCTACATACATCTTAAATCTTTGTACAGTATGCCTTTAGAGACTGTTCATGACTCACATGACCAAACCATCTCATGATTCACAAATTACTACTATTTTATTTGGCAATATTTATGAATAACTTGATACATTTTGTATAAATATGAACCTTGTATCCCACCATTTATTCTCCATTCATTTTTAAGCTTTATTGTTATTATTTTTAAAAGCTTTATTTTTTTTATTATCTTGTAGTTTTACACCTCTTGCCTTTATGGTTATTTTTATGTTGCTTTTTAATTTGATGTCTTGTTTGTTGTATTTTGAAAAAAGAAAGCAGAAAGGGAAAAGCATATGAATCACAGAGGAATGAGATCAGTGGGAGCAGTCTGGTTTAGAATTCCTTTTAAATCAGTCTCAGCAAGAATGAGGGGAAACTCTTTAAAACAGGCACAGGCAAACTCAGCCCTCCAGACGTTTTGGGACTACAACTCCCATCATCCCTAGCTAACAGGACCAGTGATCAGGGATGGTGGGAATTGTAGTCCCAAAACATCAAATTGGATAGAATTAATGCATCCTTATCCCCCAGTTGCGGGAGAAATTGTGGTGAAATTGGTACATTTT